AATGGTGTTATGTTGTCATTTTTATGGCTGAGCAGTATCCCATTGTATAAATATACCACCTCTTCTTTATCAAGTCATCTGTTGATGGACATTTAGGCTGTTTCCATATCTTGGCTATTGTAAATAATGCTGGTATGAACATTGGGGTGCAGGTGTCATCCTGAAGTAGGGTTTCTTCTGGATATATGCCCAGTAGCGGGATTCCTGGGTCATACAGTAAGTATATTCCTAGCCTTTTGAGGAATCTCCATACTGTTTTCCACAGTGGCTGCACCAAACTGCATTCCCACCACAGTGAAGGAAGTTTCTTTTTCTCTACAGCCTTTGTCATTTGTGGATTTTTGAAAGATGGCCATTCTGACCAGTGTGAGGTGATACCTCATTGTAGTTTTGATTTGCATTCTCTTATAATTAGTGATATTGAGCATTTTTTCATGTTCCTATTGATCATTTGTATGTTTTCCTTGGAGAATTGCTTGTTTAAGTCTTTTGCCCATTTTTGAATTGGGTTGTTTGGTTGTTTCTTACTAAGTCATATGAGCTGCTTGTATATTCTCTCTATTCTGTTCCATTGGTCTATATGTCAGTTTTTGTACCAATACCATGCTGTCTTGATGACTGTAGCTCTATAGTGTTGTCTGAAGTCTGGGAGAGTTATTCCTCCAGCCTCTTTCTTTCTCTTCAGTAATGCTTTGGCAATTTTAGATCTTTGATGGTTCTATATACATTTTATTATGATTTGTTCTAGTTCTACGAAATATGCCCTGGGTAATTTGATAGGGATTGCATTAAATCTGTAGATTGCCTTGGGCAGTGTGATCATTTTAACAATATTGATTCTTCCAATCCAAGAGCATGGGATATCTTTCCATATTTTAAAGTCTTTAATTTCCTTCATCAGTGGTTTATAGTTTTCTGTGTATAATTCTTTCACCTCCTTGGTTAGATTTATCCCTAGGTATTTTATTACTTTGGGTGCTATCTTACAGGGGATTGTTTCTTTACTTTCTTTTTCTGTTGATTCCTTGTTAGTGTAAAGAAATGCAACTGATTTTTGAACCTTAATCTTGTAACCTGCTACCTTGCTGAATTCTTTGATCTGCTCTAGTAGCTTTTGTGTGGACCTTTTAGGATTTTCTATATATAGTAACATGTGGTTGGCATATAGTGACACTTTACCTCTTTTTTTTCCAATTTGGATCCCTTTTATTTCTCTCGTCTGATTGCTATGGCTAGGACTTCCAAGTCTGTGTTGAATAGGAGTGGTGATAGTGGGCATCTTTGTCTTGTCCCAGATTTTAGTGGGAAGGTTTTGAGTTTTCACCGTTGAGTACTATGCTGGCTGTAGGTTTGTCACGTATAGCTTTTACGATGTTGAGATATGTTCCCTCTATACACACTTTGGCGAGAGTTTTTATCGTAAGTGGGTGTTGAATTTTATCAAAAGCTTTTTCTGCATCTATTGAGATAAACATGTTGTTTTTGTCCTTTCTCTTATTAATTTGATGTATTACACTGATTGTTTTGCTTATGTTGAACCACACTTCTGCCATTGGGATGAACCCTACTTGGTCATGATGTATGATCTTTTTTATGTATTGTTGTATTCTATTTGCTAATACTTTAGTGAGGATTTTGGCATCTATGTTCATCAGTGATATTGACCTATAATTCTCTTTTTTGGTAGTGTCTTTGCCTGGTTGTGGGCATTTTTGAGACACATTAGTGAACAATAATATCAAGCGACCAGCCCCATGTGGATTGTTATTCAAACTGTGAAAACTAGTAATAAATAAATAAATAAGATAATTCAAATTTTATTAAATATTGAAAGAAATGAATAGAGTGATGAGACATCAAAGGAATGATGATGCCATTTTATATAAAGAGATCTGGAAGCCTCCTTGAGGAAATGTTTTATAACATGAAACCCAATGGATAAACACATTTCAACTATAGAAGCAAGAATACTATTTCAGTGAATATGAGGGGTGCATTATGATTAAGGAAAGCAAGAGAGACAAACTTATATGGCTGGAGCAAAGGAATTAATGGCAAGAAACTGGGTTAATTGCAGATTGAATTGAGACTAAGATTATACATTCTGTAGAAGGTAAAGGAGTTCACTCCTTGTTCCAAGGGCTGACCTGTGCATATATGTGGGGAAATTGTAAAACTTCTCTGGATACTGTGAGAATAATAGTATTCTATGTGTGTTGTCCCAGAAGACTTTTTATAAATCTATATATAATAAAAAGAAATAAATGCAAATAAATATAATTATTATATTAAATATATTATTCATAATATGCATATATATATATATATATATATATTATTTTTTTTTTTCATTTTGGGATGAAAGTCTGGCTTGATTATGGTACTACTTACTTGGATGGGAAACCTGAGAGCAGAACAAGCCCAAAAGAGTGAAATGAGAAGTAAGAAAAACAAGAGCTTCATTTTGGGACATTTTAAATTTGAGAGGTATATTTCATATCTAAGTTGATATGTCAAATGAGCATTGGAATATACGTTGTTAAACTTATAAAGCAGTTTACGGGTTTAGATAGTTTTTTAAAAAATTGTCATAAACCTATTTTGAATTAAAACCACGTGGTTGTGTAACTGATCTCAAGAAAGACATATGGAAAGAATAGACTAGGACCAAAATCAATCTGGAAAGTGGGAGAAAAGCTAATATGAGAATGAAGGGAAAAGCAAGTGAAAGGAAATAAATGACAGGAACCTATGTTGTCAATGTAGCTTCAGGAGTTAATCATGATTATAAGCTTCTGGGCAGAATTTTCTGCTCTGAGATTTGTAGTTTATTTGGAAATACATTTTCTATAAATGGTTTTTGTCTTCTAACCTTCATACACTGACAACAAAATGCCAACTTACTTCTCAATTCTGCTTTATTATTTTCTTGCCCCATGCCTCTCTTTCTTCTTAATGGGGTTTACATTAAGAATATCAGGGAAAATATGTGTAAAGGCTTCACCTTTAAACTATCTGCTCAGAGTCATTATGTCATTTTGTTCAGAGATTTTGTTAATCCATTTATTACGTATTTGGGATCTAAGAGCAGTAGTTTTGTCCAGTTCTATAAGGCTCCTGTCTTATTTTTTATTATTGAATCTGCTGATCCTTTCTTAAGCTCATCTCTTTCTTACAATATTTTGGTCAACATAGTCAATAGCAACAATGCATATTTTTAAAACTCTTTTTTTTTAAGATTCTGTCTGAGGAAAGTGTCCTCTTTCTTACTTAGAGCAGACAGTAGTATTACTAAATACTTTTATCACTGCCTGATGCAGATGATCATTATTAGTCTTCAAGAATAATTTTCTCACTTATATCCTCTCACATACTAAGCAAAATATTATTGTTTTTGAGAGCTGCACACTCCTTTTTTCATTAAATTCTGTATCACATTTACTTGCATTTTTATTGAAGTAAATTAACTTATAATATTCAATTCATATGTATGACATTGTGATTTGTTATTTTTATATGTTACAAAATTACTACTACAATGTCTATTTACCATCTGTTACCATACAAAATTATTACAATATTATTGGCTCTATTCCCATGCTGTACATTATATCATAATCACATTTTTTACATGTCAGAACTGGTCATATGGCTCTAACTCAATTTCAAGAAGAACTGGATTTAAATATGCATATAAGAATTGAGCACTAATAATACTGTCCACACTGTATAATAATGACTTCTCTTTTAACTTATTTTTTTTCTTACAAACAGTAGAGGAGAGAAATGAACAAGAAAGAAGAGGGAATTAATTCTGCACAAGAATGAAACTCTTGATTTCCTGAGGAAATGTTTTAAAGTTGGATTTACTTTCAGAAATTTGCACAGAAGAAAAAGAATGTAAACTCAGATTTGAAAAAAAGATTTCCTTAGAATAAAAATACTGGGTATAGCAGTGATTTCCAAAATTGGCTCATCAAACTCTTGAGTTTCTTTTTTATAAGTATAAACGTCAATTTTCTTTCCTAGATCCATCTATTGAGACTTGTCAAATATAATACCCTACATTTTTGTTTGCTAAAAATGAGGTATCTTCTTTATATGCAGCTCCTTTTACTATGAAAATTATTTTCTTCATTTTCTCTGATTCACAAAGTATTCTTTTCATAAAATATTAATATTAAATATCACCAGTTTGGTGACTACAAATATATTTCTAAATTTCATGTATGTAAATCATGACCTTTAATTTCCTTGTTACATAATGTGACTTTTTGGAGTTCCAAACAATTTTCGATACCAGAAAAGGTGTGCAAGGCTCATTACAGAAATCTGACTCATATACTAGATTACTGAGATAAGGAATTCTAAGATTCACATAGATAATTATTTAAACATTTTTTATTGAGTTATAGTCATTTTACAATGTTGTGTCAAATTCCAGTGTAGAGTACATTTTTTCAGTTACACATGACCATACATATATTCATTCACATAGATAATTTGAAGTTTAAATAAATGTTTTTATTTTGCCTTAATTGATGACATTAGCATTAATATAACTTACATATGCTTCCTCAAAATCAGAAGTGTCTGTTTTGAAAGTTAGATCTGTTTCAGACAAGGTAACAGCATGAAACAGATGGCATAGTCAAATTAGAAAATCTCAGGAAGCACCTCATAAAGATAGTATACAGCAGAGTATAGCAAATCAGAAAGGTTGATATGATTCTAGGGAGCTTATTTTTTTCCAGAAAAATTTATTATTTTAAGTAAACACAATTTCAGTGAATCTGATTTTTCTAGGAGTCTCTTAAAGGAAAATTAGCATTCCATGAGTAGGTAAAATATCTTCTCTGGAAAAACATTATGTTGGGTAAAAAATAAATACCAGTTAAGTTTTTTTATAAAGAATTATAATTCATTTTGAATATTTTATAATTGCTGAAGTCATTAAAGTTACGAAGCAAAATTTCAAAACAATGTATAATAATGTATTTAAAAATATGGAATGCTTCAAGAATTTGTGTGTCATCTTTGTGCAGGGGCCATGCTAATCAGCTTTGTATTGTTCCAATTTTTGTTAATGTGCTACTGAAGCAAGCACTCTAGAGAGTTTATAATGTCAAATCTATTACCAATTCTAGGACTAAAAGAAGGAAAGGAGGGAGCAATTACCACAACCTGGAAGAAAAGGACACGTAGTTTGTGAAGAGAAGTGACTTCCAATCATGAAACCCAACCAAACTAGGGAAAACCTGCAGGAAAGGAACCAGAGGAATAAAAGCCCTCATTTCATATTGTTTCTTCTGGTTGGTCTCCTGCTTATTGACTAAAATAAACTAATAGCCAGAAAAAAAAAAGTAGTGATTGAGTACCTATATGGTAACCTTCCAGGGCAGAGATTTGGGTGATTAAGTATAAGGAGTAGATCTGGAGGGGCAAATAAAAGATACCAACTCAATTTGAGAGTAAACAAAAAGGGAAAAGTTAACTTGGCCATTAAAAGTAGTCAAATAAAAGAATACCTAGAAATATTGACTGTGTATTTTATTTTATAAATATTTTTGTCACGATACTTCTAGTTGATATCATTTAATGATGATTGCTGACTGACAGATATGGCAAAACTTCTCTATAATGATCTGATCAAAATTGACAAAAAAGCCCGGTATATTTTGGTTACTATTTCTAGAACCACATGTCCCCCCAAAAATCAATATTTATGAAGCTTATTTGATATATAGCTCTAATACAATAAAATTTATTTGACTGATAAAGACAAAATATGCTTTAGAGGAAAATATTTGAAAACTATTAAAAATCACTGAATTTGATAAACTAAAATGGTGTCTTAAGTTCAAATTAAAAAGTATGGACTTCTAAATAGTTAATAATTCCATGCAACCGTGTGGACTTTAATACTTATAAATAAACGTGATTGTTCTGTATATGTTTTCCATGCATTATATCAAATAAAATCTGATGTTGGCGCCACAGTTATAATTTCATTTTACCCTAATTATCTTCCTAAAAGCCACATCTCCAAATAGTCAGATTGAGGGCTATGGCCACACCATATGAATTTGGGAGAAAATTATTTATAATTCAAACCATAACAAATGGTATTTTATTAGTTCAAAATCATAACTACTTTTGTTCATGAAGCCAATTAAAATAATAATTAGTATCTTTATAAACACAAACTTTGAAATAAGTAAAAAAGGAAAGAATTTGAAGTTAAATATCAAACTTCTTTTCCAATATAATAATTCACTTTTTATAGTTTGCATATTGATGAAATGCATGTTTATAAAGAAGTTAATATTACGAAAAGGCTTCTAGGGGAAAAACTACATAGCTAAAATGTCAAAACAGAAACGAAGTAATTTTTTTTCTTCTTTTAAAAGTGTTAACAGTCTAAGTACTCCTTAGATTTTATAATTGGCGAATGATTACTTTTGAGGCAATGGAAATATTTTTTCAAATTTTTATTATTTGACAAAATTATTTTAACTTCTCTTATTATAAGTTGTGCATTATTTTTTAACATTTTGGCTATTAATTCATACAAAATGTCAAACATTAAAGAGCTTAATTTTTTTGACTTTGTATTTTTAAATCCAGCTTTATCATTATTTTTTATCATTGTTTTTTATCACTGATTTTGTTTTTCTGAAACACATGATAACTGTATGAATCTACATTGTCTGACTGTGGTAATTTCAATTGTTAAAATTATCACAAAGATTTCAGGGGTATTCAGCAATGGAAATTATTTTTTCTGTCTTTATATATCTATATCAGTACATTTCACTTCTTAGATATGACACCAAAATAATAATTGACAAAAGAAAAAGAACATAAATTGGACTTCATCATTATGTTATCACTTATACATGGAATCTAAAAAAAAGACACAAATGAACTTATTTGCAAAGCAGAAAGGTATTCAAAGACATAGAAAACAATCTAATGATTACTGGGAGTGAGAGAGGAGCAAGGAATTGGGAGTTTGGGATTGGCAGACACAAACTGCCATGTACAGAATAGATAAACATCAAGATACTACTATATAGCATAGGAAACTATATTCAATGGCTTGTAGTGACCTATAATGAAAAAAATGTGAAAAGGAATGTGTGTGCGTGTATGTGTGTGTGTATGTGTGTGTGTGTATATATATATATATCCATATTATGTATTTAATGTATATAACTATATATATATAGTTACATATAATTGAATTACTATGCTCTATACCAAAACTAATATAACATTGTAAATCAACTACGCTTCAATTAAAAAAAAAAAGTAAAGAAACTAGCATCCAAACCTGGGCAAGATATATCTTTGGCACACTAGTCTACCATCTTCTCTGTCTTCTTGCTTTCCAATTAAATTAGCTATTCCTTGCCCAAACAACTTGTGTGTTGATTTAATGGCCTGTCCTGTGGTAAACAGTATGAACTTGGACTTAATAATAGCAGCCAGTGTACAGAAAAATAATAAAGAAATCCTAGGGGATATTGGAAGATTGCTGAAAGCATTTTCTAATCAATGTTGCATGGACACAGCCAAAATTTACAAGCCTGAAATTTTCTTTAAAGAAAAATGCATTAACAGTAAACACTTAGCATTATATTCTGTTAAATGATATTCTGTTTTACTATTAGAATGAAGAAATACAAAAATGAACATTTGAACAATACCACTTCTTTAAGGAAATATTAAACACTATGTTTTAAATTAGCAAATTGGACTATATGTTGCAGCATATAGGTATAGACAGTGTATTTAAATATATACTTTTAAATAATTGTGAATCATTCAATAAGAATGCCCCACCAATCTTCTTTAAGGCTCATTCAACAATTTCTGATAAAGGTGCCAGATAGGCGATGGATGAATAAACTACAAAAATTCTAATTTTACATGATGCAAATAGAAAAATAATGTGATGTTGGCTTTTTTCCTGGATTTGAGAACTGACTAAAAGTACTTTTCCCTGACAAACACAGAAAATAGAAATTAAATGCAGATTAGTTTTTTGGCAGTATAACTATATAATTCAATGTAACATTGATATAAGTAAAAAGATTTGAGCTAAAATGACATTTAAGCTTTAAAAATCTTTCTTAAAGTTCAATTTTATTTTTCAAAATATTCCTTTTGATTGTGCAATTATGGGTCATCTTGGAATTGCATATATTTTTTAATGCATAATGCTACTTAGGGAGCAAGTATTACATATATTAATAGACCAAGACTTTTAAGATTTTGTTTTAACCAAATTATATATTATTTTTCTTTGGTTCTTGCAATATACCATTGAGATAAAATTATTGTTTTTACCATCATTTGCAAGAGTAACTTTAACCACAGCACTAATCCTTCAAATTTCATTATTATTATTTCTAGAAAAGAATCATGCTGCAATAATTGAAAGCTCAAGATTTGTTGTTTTGAAAATCAATTACATATTATGTGGTTAATAGAAATATATTTCAAACAAACTAAAAATTATTAATTAAAATCTATAAAATACATCTAAAGAAAATTTGATGGTCCCACCAGTTAGCAATTGTGACATAGGCTTTTATTATTATAACAGATATAGTTCATAACATAGACATCTTCATCTTTCTAAGGTTATAATGTGCATTTGTTTATATGCACACATGAGCCATGTATATTTGCCTGTCTGACACAAAAATATGGATTTGGGAAGACAGGCATTTTATTATTTTCTATACTATATATAAACTTTGAATTAATGCATTGCCTTCAGTGGAATTAAAGACAATTTTGGAAAGTGCTTATTTTCAAGATATTTTATATATTTCTAATTTAATTGAAGGATTGTTTGCTAAACTCTCACAATTGGCCTAGTCCTATGTTTACTGAAACTGTCACAGAAATAAAAGAGAAAGAAGAAAAAATCAATATTTTTAGCACTGTAATTCAAGATAATTTTTCAGCAACCTGAATTGCAAATATAGGTCAATATGTAACATTTGTGAACACAGACTGAAAGCAGGGAAGTATTTCCTGACCCAGGCCTTCCACTTGAATGTTTGTGAGCTACTTTTTATGTGCCTCATAATTATTTCTTCTCCTTCTCCGTAGAACATAATCATTTTGCATTATATATTCTACATTTAGTTAATGCCAATCTGTTTCTTTGAAAATTAAACTCCCAATATCAAGAACATGACTATTTTATCACCATTTTAACTCAAATATATGGATATTAAATAAATATTTTTGCATAGATGATAAGTATTGGTGCCATTTTTGACAATGAGAATATTAAGAAGCATTTCAAAGAATAAATCCATATTAATTTTTGTAAACTGGCAGATTTAAAGTAAAATATTTATGCATATATATGTGTTTGGGTGATTTTTAAAATCAGATTTAGAACAATGAATATATAACATACATTCCAATTAGCTTTGACTATTAATTAAATATATGTACATTAATAGCATATCCTTAGTGTTACATACATAAAAGCTAATATAATCAGTATAAAATATGGCTTCTGTGAACCATATATGAGTTAATACACATAAAGGGTTTAGAACAAGATCATCACTATAATCATAATATATTTTCTATAAGAACATGGCAATTCCAGAATAATTACAGTTTTATAATGTAACCTCAATCTTTTCCATTCCTTTGGGCTTCACAGAAATATAACTTTGACAAATTTGATAAAATAGCTGTGTGGCTTTGTTTAGCTTGACCACCTGGAGAGCAGAATATTGATTCTATAATTAACTGTGATCTGCTAAGTACAGCCACCAAAATTACCTTTTTTATAAAAGGTATTTTCTTCTCCTGAGAATTTACATGGAAAAGAAACTGCTGAATGAAAGATTTTTAAAGGGTAATAGTTATTAAAGTTTAAATGATCATCATGATTGTGTCTTCCTATAATTCATTTTAATTGTTGATATATTCACATAAGAAGACAGATTGGAACAATATACATTGGACACAGGAATACTGGTAAAATATTTGTGACCTGAGATTATAAGGGCTGTAAGACCTCTAGTTTTCACATTTTACAATTTATTTTAAAAAACATTAAAAAAA